CCCCACCCCTACTTGTTAGCCTCTGTTTTTAGTGTTCGTACCTTTAAGCATTTGTGTGTAATTATAATTACTCTGAAACATCAAATGAAATACATTCAAATTCCACTTAATTACAGGAGATTACACCTTTAGTCACATGCCGTATTTTGAAGTGTTGCAGTGTTAAAAAAGTATTTTGATTTTATATTTGTAAGTTATCAGTGTTTATGTATCCAGATTAGAGACGTGATGCAGAACACACACATTCGTATTAAAGGCCGTTTTTACAGGAAGTCAGGTGGGTGCGCGTTCCTAATATGGTTGTGACAGCGCCCTGAAACCAGCTTATCCACTCAGAGAAATAAGTGGGAGGGGCTAAATCAGTTTGTGTCAGACAGAGGGTGAAGTGAGGAACCTGCACCGAGGAAATAACCTTTATTTATGTAACACATTTAAAAGACATCAAGTGCTGAACAGAGGGATGATATAATACAAGAATTCAAATAGAAAGAAAACATTATAGAAACACTGTAAGACATCCGTGTATGTTTGTAAACAATATGTGTACATGCACACATGCATACATATACAAAAATGTACACATTCACACACAAGCACACATACGTGAACATAAGTGTCTACACATGCAAACATCATCCGCTGAGATAAAAGACCAGAATAGTTCAAACAGAATAAACGAGGTGAGATCCGAAAGGTTGGTCTTCAGATTCGATCTGACGACTTGCAAGGATGAAGAGGATTTTCTAAAAGAGGGGAGACTGTTCCAGAGTCTCGGGGCGGCAATGGAGAAAGCCCTGTCACCTCTAGATTTGAAGTGGGAGCGTAGAAGTAACAACAGCATCTGACTGGAGGAGCGCAGGGCTCGAGTGGGGCGGTGCAGGCTAAGATCTGAAATGTAACCTGGAGCCAAATCATGGAGAGCTTTAAAAACAAATAAAAAACCTTAAAATCAATTCTATGTTTAACTGGCAGCCAAAGTAGAGATGCGAGTATCGCAGTAATACTCTTCTGGTACCCATCAGGAGCCTTGCAGCTGCATTTTGAACAAGTTGCAGGTGGTCAGGCTTGAGTGACAGATGCCTAAGTAGAGAGAGTTACAATAGTCAAGACGTGATGATAGGAAATCTTGGATAACAGTTTCCAGGTCTTTAGATGACAGGATATTTTTGAGTTTAGAAACGCTCCTGAGTTGGAAAAAAACGCCACGAACAACTGAATTCATTTGCTTGTCCAGCTTGAGGGTGGAATCAAAAATGAAACCAAGATTTTTTACATGGGGATGTACATGAGCTGATAATGGGACAAGACTAACAGAGTCCTGCTTACCGAAGATTATAATGTTGGATTTGTTGTGATTTAGTTTGAGAAGGTTCAGAGACATCCAACAGTGTATGTCGCTAAGACACTCTGAGACTTTCTGCAGCGTACTGTCAGCACCTGGTTTTAGAGAGAGGTAGAACTGTGTATCGTCTGCATAAGAGTGACAGGAAATTTTGTGTTTCTGAAAAATGGAGCCTAATGCGAGCATGTATAAGGAGAATAGGACCGGGCCCAGAACAGAGCCCTGAGGTATTCCACAAGTGAGTGTAGCTGGGAGGAGTATTTGTTACTCAGCATCACAGAGTAGGATCTGCTCTCCAGGTAAGAGGTAAACCATGTTAGAGCAGAGCCGTGAATGCCGACACGTCTTTAGACGGTTTAGTAGGATTGTGTGGTCGACAGTGTCAAATACTGCGCTCAGGTCTAGAAGGATTAAAACTGCACTTTTTCCAGTGTCAGCAGCTAAAAGCACATCGTTGAACACCTTCAGTAGAGACTCTGTGCTGTGGAAGGCTCTGAAAGCAGACTGATATTTGTCCAGAATCGTATGTGTGTCTAAGAATGAAATAAAGAAGGATTATTCTGTCAATCATGCAAATTCAGTGTGTCCAAAGAACCTTTACCCCCCTGTTCTCTTCCTGAGGGAGTAAAAGCCAAAAGCACGTGCTGCGTCCGGAGTCTTTAGAGGGGACAGATGAGGAGGACCCTGTCAGTGCCTTGGAGTGGGACCCTTTGTCAACCGACTATTTACTAGGTCAGATCTGAGAGCAGTAAAATAGCTTTTTGTCTGGTCTGTGTTCGCCCACAGAAGCGATGAACTGGTTACCTCTCTTTCAGTGTCTAACCTTCATAACGGCATCCGGCTGGTGGACAGCGAGGCCTTGGCCTGCATCACGTCGTTCTGCTTCCCCTCAGCTGCCGCGTCCGTGCAGTGTTTGGCCTGGGTCCCGTCTGCGCCCGGCATGTTCATCACCGGAGGTAAAGCCTGCGTTCACGTGGGATGTGTGCTGCCTTCTGTTTGCTCGGGTGGACGTGTGCTTCGGGCAGCTGGTGTGTGGGACATGCCGCTCTCCTGCTGCCATCTTTCATGCATGATTCTTATTTGCATGATAATGAGAACATTTGACTTGTGAAGTCCACAATAACACATTTAAGTGGGTTCACTGAATATATTTACAGTCTGAAAGAGCCTCCGAGGCGTGTCCAGTGATTTGTTTCTGTCCCTCAGACTCGCAGGTCGGCGTGCTGAGAGTGTGGAACGTGTCTCGCTCGACTCCGCTGGACAG